TGATTTTGCTCAGTTAATTGGAACAGAACCGCTTCATAGCTCTGACCACACAATATGTAAATGTAGGCCGGGACGTAAATACAAGAGTCACACATTTAAGCCAATCAGAGAACAGTATTTCCGTGAGACCGCTTAATCTAGCGACAGTTCCAAGAGTAAATATACAGTGTATTTTTCATAAGAATACGAGTTGTAGAAGGATACTCAGTTCTAACTAAGAATACGATTAGATCTAATTACTTAAGAGTGAACTTGAGTCCGTGGTAATGGATTTTATTTGCAGTTTGCTTAGTATTACTGGTAAATGACATATGTCTCGTTTATGAATATCTGAGCTCATTAACTGAATTATTTTACAGGAAGTTGCGTGAAGCATGCATGACCTAGTCTACTTGCACTTCCCGATTGAAATAAACAGGGTGTATTTTCAAGAAGAATACGACGTTGTAATAAGATCACATGTTCTACCAAGGAAATGAATTATATTTACAAGCCATTCAAGTGAATTTGAGTCCAAAGTACATAAGTGCATAATAAAGACAGTAGATCCGGCATATGATTCAATTTAGTACCATCTGCTGTCACTAGAGGGGGCATGGGTGGAGATGACATTTATGAATATCTTGAGCTCATTACTGAAGTAATACCAAAAGCTTGCGGCTAACGCTTAGCTAAAAAATCTTATAACGGTTGCAACTATTTATTAGAGAACCATCCAATGTCCTTGCCCACCTTCTAAGGGAATTAGAAAGAACATACCGGAACTAGGGCTGAAACTGCTTATTTCTCCTGAACGTAAATACACGTCAACCTGCCGACATGACATAGGCCCATAATACACAGACAGAGAGACAGACAAAAAGACCAGCATAGATATATCGACCGACGGACACATACCGTCACGATATAGCAGGTAAAGTCAAGTTTCACTGTTATGTACACAAAAAACGCACGTAATGTTTTACCTGTAGCTGGGCACTATACTCAGATTAAAAGAATAAAAACGCACAGACATGCAGACACGGACAGACACGGACACACAACACACACAGTCAGACACGGACACACAACACACACAGACAGACACACAAACGAACGACAGACGGACATAGACAGATAGGCGGGCACAACCAGTAGGGGAGTAATAATATTGTGATTGAAGCATTTTGTTCTTATATTTTTTTATTTTTTCCCCTTTCGTAGCACTAGTAATGGGGTTTAAAAAGTAAAGAACACAATACATTAATTTGTTAAACACAATTACATCACTTTGATAGTATTTCATGACACCAAGCTAGGCTTGTTTAACACAGCCAGACACACACACGGACAACAGACGGGGTTATAGTGGTAATGGGATTAAAAAACACAATACACATTTCTTTACCAGAATTTCAGTCTCACCAAGCGAGGCTTGTTTAATGTGAATTAATTTGAAGCAGTAAAATATTGTGTAATATTGAAAAAAGGTTAAAGTATAACTGGTCATGGCTGAATACGACCATGATATAGGTATGGATGTCTGTTATGAACAGTGCGCACAAGAAATATAAATGCAAAGTAGGTAAAACTCTGTTGTCGTCATGGATAAAGGACTCGTTGAAATTAAGAAAATGTTGTCTGTATTTGCGAAATATTTTGTGAATATGAAAAAGTTGGGCGTAACTCACAATGGGGAAATTACCCTGTACTTTTTGTTACAGCCTTTATAAAGAAGCAATTTACACTTGGCTGCAGAAATTGTATACAAAATGTTGGCAATGTCTAAAGTAAAGGACCTGTTACTTGTTATTTAGATTAGCAATAAGTGGCGGGAGGAGCAAAGGCTGCGGAGTTGTTCCGAGATTAAATTCCAAAGAAAGAGGTTTGCTGATCAAGTCCTTTATAATGGCGAGGCATTTTGGCGACACTTTCAATCGTGCTGCAAGTCGGGACCTTCATAAAAATATTCACGCAAGTCTTAAGTACTGGACAATTTCTGGAAAAGGCTGCCAAATATCGGCAGGGGTAATGCCATTCCATACATGTACATTACCCTAAATGCTGAACGTCAAGCAGGGAATAGCAACTTCCATTTTAAGGACTTCAGTTTGTCTCAGCTTGGGAACAGAACCCATTGCCTTCCTCACCTGGGCAAATTAAGTAAATTAAGTAAAGAAATATTTAATTACACTATTAAATGCCGTACATAAGAAGGTTATAAACAGAAAATTTATACGGTTTTCCCATTTAACTTCATATACAAATATCTCAATTGTATTGCAAAAAAGTCGGTATTTTCATTCAACGTCAACGTTTTTCATTATGCTTACGGTCACAAGTGGGCCTTGTGGTGTCTTTGTCATTACCCCGATTCCAACTTTAGGAACTTGATATTACTTAGATTGACCTAAATTTACATGGCAGTTTTCGTCAATGAAGCAGAAGATGCCTACCTTTCCGGACAGTTGCTTTTAATAGTTGCAATTAATAGTGAAATATCAGAAGCGATACATTTGATTAAAACGTTTGACTCGTCTCAATGGGTGAAGATATACGACATATTACATCTTCATCAGTTATAACGAAAGGTCCTGTATCTATTTCATTTTAATCAATCAGAACAATATTTTCTATTCGCTGCATTCAAACCCGCGGTTATTCTGGTCAGCTGCAGAGCAATAAACGGTAGAAGACTTGTTTTGTACACATTTGAGTATATTACTACATGATTGGTATAATTGTAAATTGTACAAGATAAAAAGCGGTGGATGGCGTTGAGGAGCTCATTCCAAATGGCGCAAGGCCTTGTTGTAAAGCGTGACGTCATTAAAATATAACGTCGAATATTACACTATTAAATGCCGTACATAAGGAGGTTATAAACAGAAAATTTAACGGTTTTCCCATTTAACTTCATATACAAATATCTCAATTGTATTGCAAAAAAATCGGTATTTTCATTCAACCTCTGCACTCGTGAAAATCGTGTTCCTGTGAGAAGTATTTAGTAGTTAACGGGAAAGCATTAGTATCCTGTTATCATCTTAAGATAAACTACAAATATGATAGCAGTCGAGCTCTTACGTATTTCTGCACATTCATACAGCTATTTACAGTAGTCGGCCTTCAGATATTACTTCACAGCCTCAAAGCAAAATATAAACATCAAACTCTAGATGTTCCTTTATATCATAAAAGCTAAACATTAGCAGTAGAGCTTTTTTGTCACGTGGTACACAAACAGATAATTCAGCTATATAAAATAGGGCTTGTCCTCAGTTCCCTCACTTTTTAAAATAGCATGTGGAGAATACTGTTGTTATAAGGATTATATTCTGTTTCTGAGTAGTATTGGCAGTATTGTCCTTCTATCTAAGCTGGAAGCTGATCACATTTGATTTAATAATACATCATATAAGATTTTCAGAGTTTTAATAACAAATGTTAGAATTTAAAACAATTCAATATTAATCATATTTATAGATTAATGCTTTAAATATATCTATTCTGTATTTTTTGTGCTGCTGATATGACATGATAAGATGAAATTTGTTATTTTATTTTGTAATAACTTTGTAATTTAAACATATTATTAAAAGAATAATGTAAATAGTTATGAAATAAAAATTGTCTTTATTATTGTAAACTTTAAGTAGGAAATTTATCTAAATTCCTAGATGTTAGAAGTATATTTTAACTATCATAACAATCACTTAATATCTATAATTATCAAAAGTATCATTTCCATCCTGGTGACCTAGAAGTGATCACGGCTTATGCTAATTAGTAGGATAATGATGAGTTTTACCATTATCTAAGCACACCTTGAGAACCGGACGATGGACTTTTTGGAGTACGCGAACGCAGCATCACATCTCTTACATCTGGGATAGATTACAACAAAAATGCGTGACATTTGACTGTCGATCTTTTGTGTATATTTGTGATCAACAGATCTTTTTTTTTTTTTTGCTTGGCTTTTTTATTTTGAAGCAACAATCCTAAATATTTTGCATTTCGGCATCATTTGTTTGTGATAAGATAATAAATAAAATTACTAGTGCCAATTGGAGGGTAAAACAATTCACAAATATGATTTAAAATGATGTCTTATCTGCAAAGCGTAGTTGTACTGTACACGCGTACAGGAATTTGATGACATGAACCCATAAATCAATATGTATGTTATTAAAATAATTCAATAAAATATTCCACCGATTTGAAAAATATTTCATTACTTAAGAAAGTGAAATCGAACGTGGATTCGACCTTGCACCGTTCACTTTTTCTGGTCAAAAGTAAACTAGGTTACACATTCGGCTACATCAAATATGGAAATATTATCTGTTTTAAACCGAGAAACACCTATCGCAGCTTTGAGAAACTTGATCAACTATGTTTTTCATTATTTTGATTTATTTTGAGCACTTTCCCAAACAGCCAAAGGAGGACCATTTCCCGTCGTACGATTTATTTTTGCATATTACATCACGGAATCAAAAAATGAATTCAAAAGTTTGTCCCCGGATGGGGAAGTGAAGAAAGTATTTGTTAAGTCTGGGAAACCCCATCACGTGCATGCATATAGTGAATATGGCTATATTTGCAGTATTATATCAACAATACCGAATATCTCAGCAGTTCCAAAATTCATATTATATTGGTTTGGTATCGATTTCATGCATTTTCGATACTAAAACTGATTTACTTATTGAATTTTTTTCCGTATTCAAAAATGCCGGTTTGGGTAAATTTGGGCAGTTTTCCGCCATAGCTCTTTAAATATATATGTTTTAACTTGTCTTGTATTAAATAAGTGTTCATATATTTGACTGTAAACTCTTACTATTTAGTTATTGTTATATTTGTATTGTACATCATGTATGTAATGATTGTATCATGTGTATATGCATAAATTAATTATAAATATTAACAGACTGATAAACAGACAAATAAGTGTTTATAATATTATTATATCAATTAGTGCCCCCCCCCCCCCNCCCCAATTAATTAAGTTATAAAATACATATCCAAAAGTTACCTTACATACCACATTCACAGAAAAGATACAAGTCAGACAGGTAACTTTCTTACAGGTAAGTTACCTGTGGGATAAGTATGAAACAGACTATAATTAGTTTGCCATTGTCTTCCTATATCAACACTTTTCTTTGTTCTTTAAAAAGTTGGGGAACTGAGAACACCCCTAAAATAGTCAGCGTTTAGCTATTTTTCCTGCAATGCTAAATATAGAAGTAGATCGTCGATATCACATGGTACACAAACAGCTAAATAAAGCTATGAATAGTTGTTTAAATAGAGGTGATATTCATTGCCATTCTTAGCTTTGCACAAAACACAAATATAGGGTAAACCAATGATTTTCTGCTGCCTCATAGCAGCATAAATATACTTCAGTAATTCTTATACATGTAAAATGCGTAGTTTTTACTGTGAAGAATAAGTCAAATGCTATGCAGGTACGGGTTTTTTTTGTTTTTGTTTTTACATATGCTGGATAAAAAAAGTAAAGTAGGTGCTGAATTTTTTTTACCAGTCAAGAATTATTATACGGACGAATATTTGGGTAATGCAAGCGGGTAGAATTCCAAATGTATGTTGGGTATTATTTTATCAAATGTCATACATTAAACTATCGTTATCTTAAATTGTTATAAATGAAGCATAAACGAATCTTGAAAAAGTGAAGTATCCCAGGCCGAAACTTTGTGATGAAATCTACATTTTGATATATATCACATATATTTTTTATTATCAAATGATGATATTGCTGCCTCGTGAACAGTATATTGAAATTTTTTGAAATTTCCTTAGGAGAAAAGAACTTTTTTTAATAAAAAATATCTGTCATGACTATCTTGCGTTGCACCTGGTTTTGTGTCCGTGTTCTACTGACGGTTGTCTCTATTTTTGTGTATCGGAATTCTCGATTCCAATTAGTGTTTTGCCATACTGATTTTGTCTTTGTGTGTTGATACTGTGGTCAATTATATTTTACTATTACTTTTCAAAACATGTCCAGATGGCATAAATTACAGCCGAATAAATTGCATTCGTTGCCCTTGTATTGTGGCATGCAGTTTCTCAAAGACACAATATTAAATCACCGGGAACAGAACGATACTGTATTGCGGTAAACTGCTAGCGCTAACCTATCCATGTATGTTCATAATTGCATGATATGACAACAAGGAATGTGATGTCCCATCGGGATTATGTTATTTTAGTTAAAAAACACGACAATGTACATTAACAAACCACGACTAGGTGTGTTTATAAACTACGACAATAATACTCGTTTATAATTAACGATTATAAAAATAGTTTTACAAACAGCTGCAAATGTTTCCGTCAGAACTACACAATACTCTCAAAATATCCACTTGTGAATGGGTTAGTGTCATTCTCTGATGTCTTTGTCTGGTTGACCCCCGTATGATAATGTTTCTACAGACACGTCGCCCGATTGGTGTGTAGTGCTCTCCGGTTGACGGAGATCCTGTTGGTTGACCTGTATTTCTATATGCTGCTGATAAGTGGCACTTCTCGGCTGAAATATTCCTTGTGCATCGTATGTCTGTGATTGACAAATATTTTGCATTGGTAGACGTCGACTGTTCACCCCTTGAGTGACGCTAATAAATTCTGGTTGATGATGGGGATAACAGGTGCTTACAGGCTGGTGATTTGCATTTTCTGATCGGTTATGGGCGTCTACTAGTTCATGTAGAGCATTTACTTGTTCTTGATTGGTGCTTCCTGGTCTTTGAGGAGAGTTTCCGAAATGATGTTTGACAATTCCTGGCTGGTGATTGGCATTTTCTGATTCATGACCGACGTTTTCTGGTTGAGGTTGAACTAGAACCGGTTGATGCCAGATGTGTCCTGGTTGATAAGTGACGTTTTCTGATTGATGATGGGCGTTTTCTGGTTGATGATGGGCGTTTCCTGGTTGATGAAGGGCGTTTCCTTGCTGATGATCGGTGTTTAATAGGTGATGATGGGCGTTTCCTATTTGATAATGGGCGTTTCTCGGTTGATGACAGACGTTCCCTTGTGTATATACCAGACACGACTCCACATGTTGAGGGCATTTTTCAGACTGGACACAAAGGGGACGATAGATGTCATGTTGCGATACCAATACTTGATGGCGGCCATTACCAGTAAATTGTCTTTCTTGTCGGATATCTAGTGAACAGTTAGATTGACGATCTGTATTGGTTAACGATTCATTACCGCGAGTGTTAGGTATACTCCGAGGATCTTTCTGGAGGCTCACAGATTTATCTATGTCCGTTATTGAAGCATGATGTAGAACCTTACTTTTATCTGCAACCAAAGTATCATTATCAGAGGATTGATTAATCCGTAACCGGGTGCTGTACGGTCGGTACGAGGTCATGTCCATGTTCTCAGTAGCCTTCCCAGCGATTTCGTCCTCGTAGGAATTGTGTTCACACGCAAACTCCGACTTGTCTGAATGTTCGTGGCCTGCACGTGCAGATCGACCTGTCTGCTGTAGAATCAGTTGCAATTTCTTTTCCTTTAGTTCAGAGGCGTAAAGTTTAACATAGCAAGTTTCGCCAAAGTTACCCTCTTCTCCGAGTGCTATCGCTTTTTCAATTTGAAATATTGCTGCCTCGATGTTGAGCATTGCTCCTTCATTTTGTGATTTGCGTCCCATGTCAGATATTTCTTGTTTAACACGACGGCTGTCCAGGTCATGGAGACGCGCCCTGGCAACGTAGTAAAACATTCTTCTCCTCGACTCTATTCCATCCCATATTTTGTCAATCTCTGCCATCAGTTGTCTGGCTTTGTAAACGTATTTTTGTCTGGCTACACAACGTGGTATAAGATCACATCTGTTGCTAATACCAAGGAGACAATACACCATCCGCAACAGAAACATGCGCTTCCAGAATATCCGAGTAACATCGTCTTCGTCCTCGAGGGCCTGGAGACTCATTCCTGCCAGCTTGATTATTGTATCACGCAGATCGTCCGTGGGGTTGTTCTCGAACTTGCATAGATAGTTAAAAACCTGAATGTACAACATGTTATCGAGCTGTACGCAGGCGCCAATATGATAAGAGGCCACCCGGGCGTCCGTTAGGAACTCCTCTCCTCTCTCTGTGTCTTCTGCTATGGCACACGCTATCGCCATTCTGGATCTGAAGGCAACTTCGGTAACATGAGTGTTTGACGTTTCTGGTATTAGGTCTTCTAGTTCTTTAAAAAGACCATGTGTAGGAAATTTCCTTACGTACAACATTGTGTGTGAGTCTATTTCCGCACAGAGGCAGGCTGCGTACTTATCAGCTATCAACATCTTTTTATCCAAATCCAACTCATGTACAAACTTGGCTCGGAACCGTTGTGACAATTCATGTAAGTTTTCCCGAGGATTCTTAAATGTGTTGTTATGAGTATTTATTTTTAAAGACACGAACAGTTCTTGTGCAAACTTGTGATTTGATCCTCGACAGTTTCCCCTTTGGAGCCTCACAACGTCGTTCAAATGACCTTTGATGCTTCGAATGTGAACAGACAGATCTAATGACAAGTCGGTATATCCTGTGGTATCTAGTATGCTCAAAAAGGAAGGGAAAGGACATAGTTTTGTAATAATCTGAATAACCTCTTTCCACACTTCCGCCCGATCCCCAAAACTCTTCCTGTCGACATCATATACACTCTTAAAAATTGAAGCATCAATGCGACCATGAGTACGTAATCCGTTTGTAACTGTGATGGGATCAACATTCTTTTGGAAATAGGATTTGTAATCCTGTAGCAACGCTATTTCGTCGGCATCCATTCTTCAACTGATGGACGACTTATTTGTTGAAAACGTTCATATGGACATGACATATGTAGCCAATTAGTCAAGGCAGCTTAATTCTGAAATAAGAGAAACATGATTTTGTATCAATGTTTGAAATGCTATTCAATATAAAAATAATTTAAGCCGTATCATAATATATACCTGACTAGATTAAAAGCATTGCACGGTCATTTGGAATTACCAATCGTAGATGTTTCGTCATTCATTTCGTTATGATATATAATCAATTATAATATAATTATAATATATTAAATAGCAATTCTAAACAAGCGATACCATCATCACACCGAGCAGAAGTCAATGTAGGAATTTTGTCTTGGGCTGATTTTATTCCTTTAAAATAAAGTTTGGTATTCTTGCATAAAGAATAATGTAGAATAATACCACTGGTGGACATATTCTTTTTAAGAAATACTATTGTTTCTTTAATGAAAAAGGAAAACACAAGAAATGGTTCAAAGGTCGAGAAAGATAACATATATATCACATAGGACATGTACACAACCAATCATAACACTTGGAAGGATGAGCGCACTTGTCAAACCAGTATATCTGAGAAAGTTTTCTCGATAATATAAAATAAATAATTTCATTATTTATTATATTCAATACTGTGCATGTGCAAAAAATTAAGTGACCAAATGTCAAATTTTCCGTAGGTAACAAAAATCTGTTCAATAAGCAGTTGTTCCAGAGGTCATTCTTTACATTGTCCTTACTTCACGTTTACCAAACAACCACAACCTGTCTTTATATGGAAGAAAACAAATGAGCCCACAAAGAAATCGCCATTGATAAATTCCAATAGGAATACACCCTAATAAGTGAATGACCAATCCCCATGACACATATATAAATAGTTACAGTTTCACCTGAGATCACTTTTATATAGGAGCAGCCATGGAGAATTATCCTGGTATACAGCGTAGTTATTTTTCAGAAAAAAAATATTGTATATCATAAACAGCAATATTAATTCTTTTTTTGCAATAGTTCCTCTCTGTTGATTTGTGTCAAAATATAATTTTATTGGGATTTTTTTCTCGTGACAGAATAAATGTTATAGATACTAGCTGCTTAAATTTACAAAGTGAACAAAAGTCGTTATTTGTTTTGGTTTTTCATTGCGATGAAATAAATGTTATAGATACTAGCGGCTTAAGTTTACAAAGTGAAAAGTTTGTTATGTGATGTCGTTTTTCCTTGTGACGGAGTGAATTTTACAGATACTGGCAACTTTAATTTACAAAGGGAACTAATGCTTTGTCTTTGTTTCTCTGCGTCGAAATTAATATTGGCGTAAAAATCCTAGAATATGATGTCGGAACGGATAAGTCACTTACAGCAATCTTAGCTCAACTGCTTCATAGAGAAACATAATTCAGCTAACCGGACGTTTTATCTGAAGTGTGTCTGTAAAACCATGATGTCTCGTATATATACCCATTCAGTATTGTTAAAAAACAAGAGGCCCAGAGGGCCTGTATCGCTCACCTGGATACCTAAGCAATCATGGCAAACTATTCTCCAAATGAGATCAAGGGAATATGCCAGACCCCAAGGCCAATCCTTGTAGCATAGCTATATTAGATTTTTCATGCCCAGCAATTTTATGTATGGTTATGAGGTGGGGATCTCAACTGTTTCCAAGCTTTGACTCAGAAACTAGGTCCCTAGAGTTGT